ATATATATGGCAACTAAGACCAAAAAGAAGTGAAATTACTTACCTAAAATAAACAACTATTATGCTAATAAGTGACTGTGCTGTGACTAGAAATCAAGTCTACCTAACTCTAAAATCTATTCTTTTTACTGCATTATCATTTCAAGTCAGAATTTTGACTACAGTAATATCATAAAGCTGAATGATAGCAAAGGGAACAGTTGCTGCATAAAGGTATAGGCCCACTCCCGCTGTGAGTAGGTTTTTAATTGTATCCCCTTCCAGTACACATACCCTATTCAGGGTGTAGGGTCCAACGTAACTTTTTTACTGCAATATCTCAGTACCTTGCAGAAGCCTTAACTGTTCTTTTTGGATAAAAGTCCAGATTCAGGCTTTGCTTTCCAAGGACAGGAATTAAAGACTCTGGTCTATAAAGAATCTAGTAGCTTCAATTGGCATGTTCTGTTTATGACTGGGTGAGGAGAGTGAGGATGGTTAACATGAGATAAAACTGGCTTAGTCCTACTGGGTTGAAAAATATACAACAATTTCCAGTTTCCAACCTCCAAGCAGTACAGCTGGCTGCTTTCCTGGAGTAGCCATGTTCTAATGCACTGAAAGAGGAGGGAGGAGAGAAAAAGGAAGAGAAACTACACTCTGTGTTGCCAGTGTCTTCTCCCTGTATTCTAAGAACAAATTTCCATGAGGCAGGAAACGAGTGTCAGAAAGGAAAGTAACATGTGCCAGCCATGCCAGTATGAATTGAGACCTAGGTCTGATTCCAGGACAGCATGATCGTTAACCGTGATGCCAACTTGCATAAGAAACAACTAGTGAATTGGGTTAGCAGAGTTCTGGGGAGGATGATGGGATCTCTGAAGAAGGAAGACCTACCCTAGGTGTGGGTGACACCGATCAATAGACTTGTAGCCTGAACGGGATAAAAGCAAAAGAAGGAAATCTCACGTCTTCAGAGCCCCAGTCTTCATAATTGCCTGAGGATGTCCATCTACAGTTTTCCAGCTCAGATTCTTCAGCTTCCTGACACACACTTGCATAAGACACTGCAGTGAGCTTCAGGTCTTTCATCTTTGACTGGATCATCTGGCTCTCCGGTGTACAGACAGCCCTTTTGCATTTTTCCATATCTGACTCTGCAGGTGGCCAATGTAAGCTTACTTTCTAAATCAGAGAGATGATAGATAGATAGATAGATAGATAGATAGATAGATAGATAGATAGACAGAGAGATAGATAGACAGACAGACAGATGATATTATATTTATTCCTGTAGTGAACCCTAATTGATACAATGAGGAAACAGAAGAGCTGGGTTACAGAGCATGGTAGAGCAGAAGGAGCAGGAACGTGGAAGCTAGTCAGCTTGTAATACGTGCAATTGTAGGGTTTGGGATATGCTTTACAAACTTATCTGAATATCTTCTGCACATCTCAAAAATGGTCATGGGGCTCCCTGAGACTATTCTGTGGATAAAATGGAATAATATTCATAACACACTGAACAGCTAATTGGCTTAATAAAGTGGCTCTATCCCCAAACCATACCCTATCTTTTGGCCATTTTCTAGGAAATGGGAATTTTTTGAGACTTTCTCAAGATTTATACAGAAAATAAGATTACATATAAATAGTCACACAGACTAAGCCTTCTCCATCCTTGAACTTATTAAGTCTATCTGGAAAATTGTCAGTGACAAGATTGCACTCTAAACCTGCCATGGGCTGGCAGATGTCTCACACGGGTAGGGTGCACCTGCCTACTCAAGGTCAAGGAGACAGATGTCTTGCAAATGGGAAGGCATTCAGAAGACTGAGGGGTAGGAGACAAAGAAGTATGAACTAAAATACGCCATGTACAGAAGCCTAATAACCTCAATGAATGTAAACACCTATGTCATAAATATGAGCTAAGAATTATAATAACAAGAAGAATTAAAATGGGGAAAGGGAAGGAGATGGATGGAAAGCAAAAGGGGATTAAAAAACAAGCTGTTTTATATACATATACCCACGCTCCAAGACGAATGTAAACTTCATGTACTGCAAATGTGTATTCATACAAAAAAAAAAAAGATCAGAGTGGAGGAGGGAATATGAAGCAAGAATAATTTAATTTTAACCTTGAACACAAAAACTGAGTGCTCTGCTAATATTATTCTACAGCAGAAAACCTCAGAAGGGAGAGGCAACAAATAGGAAACACAAGACACAAATTAGTAGCTGACCTCTCCCTGGCTGACTTTGGAACCTGTGTGGGCTGATCAAGCAGCAATCATACAAGGATTCTCTAACTCTATTGTCAACCAAGATGAGGATGTGCCACTGGGCTTTGAAAACTAGCTGTGCCAGAACGAGCCCCACATGAAATGCCCTCGCTTATCCTGAGTCACTGCAACCTTGTTAGGTGTTAAGGATGCTCATATAATTAGTAAACATTACTATCCACAAAGACCTCTCAAATAACAGGAAAAGCAAATAGTACATTAAGTAAAGTAGTTAATGCCAACTTCTTGAACACACCTAACACTTTTATGATTTAATACAAGTTTGAATCCTGCTTACAACACATGCAAAAGTAGATCAAGTCAACTTCCTGCATTCTGTAATTATACAATTTGAGATACATGATTTGCTAGGTCAAAAAGAAATGGCAGGAGAATTGTGTGGAGTAATTTGAAGATCTAGGCTTGGAAGTGGTGTATATCTCTTCTGCCAACAAGCCATAGCCCACAACCCAATCAAATGGTCTTAACCTAACTGCTAGGGAATCTGAGAAATACACAAAAACACAAAGATATTGCTGAGTTTGGACAATCTCTGACAAGTAAACAATAGCAATTCAGTGAGTTAAGTAAACATTTAATTTATGACTTAAATTTGGTGATAGTACAATAGTAAATTTTTTCTTGGGCCAGTCCAGGAAATTTTCCTGGGAAAGGAGACATATCAGTCCTGGAAAGAGAGCAAGCACAAGATAAGTGAAGGACAGAAGAGAGGCAATTTTAGGCAGAGACACAGATACATGAAATAACATGGCAAATATAGAGAGTACACCAAATTTGATATGTCTAGAATACTGTATGCACAGAGAAGATATGGAATAGAAACTTCAAACATTGGTGAGACCTAATTCTGAGGTTAGGAGGAAATTTTAGCCATCCAGGAAATGTATGATTGACCCTAGAGTCTTTATCATTAACCAGGAGAAAGTCTACACACGAAGGTGTGGTCAGATGTGTGAATCAGGCCTTTGCAGAACCTTAGTCAATAAGTAAGGCCTCCTATATTTCCTCTTTCAATAAACAAAAATGTCAGTACAGAAATAATGATGGCTGTAGGCTGCTTTAAGTAGCAATGTACAGCTACTTTCTCTCACAACATCTTGCAGAAGGAGAGCAGAGTAGGTTTGAGTGTCAGACAGAATTGGATTCAAATGCTTATTCCACCACTGTTATATGGGGCACATTACACTCTAGGTCATATTTTTTTAAAAAAAATGGGAAGAACAATGCATCTTATAGATAAATAGCATGCAGATGAAGGAAATGTTGCCTGTAGAGCTACATAAGAATGACAGAGAGCAGTGTTGGCCTTCCAAATACATAGGATGAGAGTCCCTGATCCGAACACCCAAATTATGAAAGATTCCAAGGCATTACACATCATGAGTGCCCACATGATTCAAAAAGCAGAAAACTCTACATTTGCCTTCAAGGGAATGGGCCACAGTCAAAATTCAGCACTAATAAATTGTGTGAAGTTACTTTCAAACGACATTCATAATATGTAGATGAAACATTAAAAAATTTCATGTTCAGACATGGGTCTCATTCCCAAGATAGTTCGTTTTTACTGTATATATAAACAAACATTCTAAAATCTGTAGTATCTGAAATCAGATGCATTTCCGGTTCCAAACATTTTGGATAAAGAACCTCTTGTTAGCATTTCCTCTGCCACACCAGTATTCTCTCTCATTTCCTCATACTATGGTATCACCTGTATGTTTTAATGGATTTAAATTGCTTGCAGGATGCTCTTACTTTTCACCAGATTGCCCTTGAACTCCGTATGGGATGAAGTAAAGCTGTTTACTTCCTTAATTCCATGCTGCAACACAGTCACTGGGCAAAGTACTTACACGTTCCCGAAATCAGGGGTCTCTCAATCTCTTCTTGAAGACAGCCTGACACTGGAGTCTAGAAGTCTTCTCAGATCCATTATCAGGTTACATATTGACAGTCTTCCTCTGAAATAGACAGTATAGTTCCCATTTTACAAACAAAGAAAACCACAAAGAGATTTCAAAGGCAAAGCCAAATGTATTCCATTTACTTCAATAAAATTGCCTAACATTCTCCTTGGTAGAACAGGGAGGTGGCTGGGCATCCCTGATTCTTGTCTTGCAAGACAGTAAGAAAACTTTATGGTGTTTTTTTCAGGAAATGAGATGCCTCTAAAAATCAAAATTTGTCTAACTAGCTTTTCCAGGGAAGTAGGTATTCTAAGAACATTAAGCAAAAAACACCTGACACCAGAGATGAAAGGTAGAAAATTTGATAACAGTGTCACTTTGTCTTGAAATGAACTCAAATAAATTGGGCACAGAACCACCAAGTATATAGCAGGACCTAATTGTATATTTAAAAAAAAATGACTCTTCCCTGTTTGGTTAATGACTTTTTCATACAAAGTTAGATACATAAGATATATAAACATACACATAAATGTTAATGTACATAAATGTGTACATTTATACACACATATAACCCGATTAATGCAAACCAGCTATCCACATTTTTTCTTTACTTTGACCTAGGACTATAGTAAGAAAGTGGGAAGGAAGACACTTTGGATAATCTGACCTTCCCTTCTCCCTCAAAGAGAGTAGAACTAGATTGAAAAAGTGAAATGAAGCCTAGAGCATGGCCAACACACTGAGTCATGGAGTCTTTACGCTGCCCATTTTTTCTCCTTTTGACTCCTGCAACAAAAGTGTCAGGGTCCACCCATGTCACTTCAACCCACATGTGCACTGTTCTCATAGGGTCCTCTCTGGTGCTGGCAGGGCACACTCTAGGCCCAGAACAGTTCCAGAAGCACCGGAGTTGGTTTCCAGGAAGCTACCCTCAACACTGACATGTGACAGAGCGGGTGGGTAACCACACAGCTTCTTCACCCCCTAGACAACAAGAGCTGAGGTATGCTCTGCATAAAATCTCATAAGGTTCCCATCGGGATAGCGCCCTGATGCCATCATAGTCATCTGCTTGTCAGTGTACACTCTACTGGTTGTCATTCTCCATCCCTGTATTACTTTCCTCTCTTACTGAGCTTCCTGCGAGCACTCACCAAATAAACTACTTACCAAATCCCTATTTCAGAATGTGCACATACAACACTAAAGCTACAAAAGTTTCCTACAGTATTTCTAAAGGCTCTAAACCAGATCTCTGAACTCTGAAGCCACCATCTCTCCCACTGAAGAGTGATCCCTCCACTTTGTTGTGAAGATATAACTTCTCTTTCTCCTACTTATGTATGGCAAGAATTCAAACATGTCTAATGCAGTGCTGGGGACATGGCAGGTGTTCAGTAAATCACTGTGAGCAATCTGATCCTTTCTCTCTCTTCCCTCCATATGCACATCCCTATACCTTCTACCTCATTCTGTAGGATTGAAGTCTTTTGAAAAAGTTCCTTAGAAATTTGAAGAGCTTTTGGGCCTGGGGTCTAGGAACCCCAGGGAAGCTCATTAATTGGCTGCGGTAAAAAGCTTTTCTGTAACTGCAGATCCACAGGTGGGCAAATGGGCAGACTTCAGGCCATTGGCGCCCTGTGGCCCTTTTTGTTCCACAGCAAAAGGATCTGCTGCATGTCACTCCCTCTCACCTTTCCACCTTCACTATCCCTTCTCCTTTCTGGCTGCTCCTCTCATAACCTCTCTTCTTCCCTTGTGGATCCTTCTTCCCTTAATGACTCTGTATATTTCTAAAAAAAATTTCCCCTGCTTGCTCAGGATGAGGCAGTCCTGCAGCTCAACTGTCAGACAGCCACATTACATATTGTGCCACATATCCAGTAAGCAGGATTGGTCCTAGAAACATCATAGGATGTCTCAGCAGTGAGGGAGTGATGGTAAAGCCCACTGCCATGCATGTTCAGTGTGTAGTTCTCTCCCACCTTGTCCGAATCACTCCCTGACCCACTGTCTACCACCCCTCTCCTTCCCAAGCCAGAACTCCCAAATCCAAGCTGACTCTGTACAGTACTAGGCTCCTTGAGAAAAGGGAAGGTCTTTTCATTCATGTCTCTCTATTTATATTTCTAGTTATGCATAAGACATATTTGTGTGCTGAATATATGAATAAGCAGAGCTTTCTATCATCAAAAGATCATAAGCCTTAAATGTATACATATTTTGGAGTGGAGAATGGTGATAATAAATTCATTCAAAACAGTGCCTTAAGTACAAAAAAGGGCACTCCTACATGAAGAGAAGAGATTCAAAAGGCAGAAACTTGTAGACAATAAAGACATGATTTGCTTTATTCACACCTTTGCTCTAGGAAGAGGGCATGAGAATAGAATTCACTTGAAGGATACTGAGAGGGAAAGAAGATGACATCCTCTCTCAGTGGAGTACTTCTTCCTACTGTAATAAGATTAAAAACTCTGAAATCAGACAATTTGATTGTAGCCTAGGTTTTTTGAGATTGTACATGAAAGACACTGAAAATGCCAAGATACTGTAGCAAAGGAACATTGAGAAACAAATTCAGGCCTCTGAGCATGATTGTCAAGCAGTCACACTCTGTGGTTTATTGCAAGCCTCTTTGAGGCCACTGGAGAAAAGAATAGGTCACTGTCATAACAATTACCTTCCAGATGAGGTTTCCACAGTGAGGACAGTGGTGGTTTCTATTTGTTGATGCAATTTAGAAAACTGCCTAGAAAAATTCCTGGTAGGGAATTTAGTTCAGTGGTGCCACCACCTGCCTTGCAAGCACAAAGTTCTGAGTTCGATCCCCAGTACAAAAAAAAAAAAAATCTGGTAGGTATTACATCCATTATAATAATTCACGCATTTCAGGAATTTAATCAAATGATAACTCTAGGTAGAGATATTTAAGGAAATTCAGAGTAAACACCATAAAGAAAGCATCCCAACTAGAGGAGAATGTTGGCATTCCAGCACACCTGGTGGATACTGAACCTGCCAAAGCTGGATCCAAGCATCTGAGAGTCCCAGATTTGGCAATGCTCTAGCATCTGTGTTTGAGCTCAAGCCTGGGTAGCTCGGAAACCATGTTGCATGTAAACTTTCATCCAAGTTCTCTTAATCTACCGTCTGAAGCCAGCACCCTCACCATTCTCCATCTGTTCCATTTCTATATTTCAAAATGGGAAAAGATTCTCTTTGTTTAAGAAAAGTGGGAGAGTGGGTACTTACTTACCATATGCCACACTAGGTGCTGTACAAAAATTATTCCATTTAGTCTTCACAACATGCCTAAGTACTCAGATATGTAAAGCAATCTACTTGAGACAAAGTTCTGTCAGGACAATAGAGTCAGTCTAGGTATTTTAGCAGAAAAAGTTTTAATATAGAGATTGTTAAATGGTGGGAGGGGTGAAGACCAGTGAAAACTACTGCTGGCTTTGAACATTTTTTTCTTTTTCTTGTCATAAGAGCATGATTACATTCCTCATGGGGAACTGGGACAACATAACACATCTTACTTTTCATCTCCTGCCACCAAGAAATCAGAAAACGCTTGGCTCACAAAAAGCCCCTTCAGTGATTTCAACTGCATGCCACACTGAAGTTGAGGTTCAGTTCATCTGGGAGCCACTGCAAACATCAAGCCTTATTATATGTCCACAAGCATACTGTACTCCCATCACCCAGAGGATAATAAATGCTTTTTCTTGTTTTCCAACTCTGCATACATATTTCACATTGGCAGAATCCAAAGCAGAGCCCTGATGGCATACAGTTCTGTGTTCTAGCCCCTACCAAACAAGGAAAAACAGAAACAAAAACAGAGAGATACTACAATGTTCATCATATGATTGAAGCAAGTGAACTTCTAGTAAGTTAAATAAGTTTTTCCAAATTTTCTCTGCTGGTTAGTAGTGGGAATGATGCCTGAGTCCATCTATGCTTTATAACAGAATACTTGGGTGATTAAACCCAGAACACTGGGTAATGACAAAGAATAAAAATTTATTTTTCACAGTCCGGAGAAGTCCAACAAGCTGGCAGGTTTGGTGTCCAGTAAGGACCAAGTCTCTTCTTCAAAGATTGTGCCTTAAATACTGACTGCACCCTTCAGAAAGAACAGTTCTTCTCACATGGCAGGAGAATGGAGGAGAACCAACTCACCTGCATAAGCCCTTTGTACAGAAGCAGTAACCTGTTTATGTGGACAGAGATTTCATAACCCATGTACACCTCCCAAACTTCTACGTTTCCCAACACTGTAGCAATGGCAACTGAGTTTCAACATGAGCCTGGGAAGCAACGAAAACATGCAAACCAGAGCAGATGGAGAATCGACAAGCCTAGTCTCTCTGCCTCTAGAATCCAAGAAAATGAATGAAATTTGATTGACATGGAGTTAAATTTTCCAACTATAACCAGAAAGGACATTTCTGTGCTTGAATTGCTCTCAGTTACCAACACTGTTAACCTGGGGCAAATAATTCAGGTAGGTTTCTTTGTCAATCTTGAAAGAGTATAAGAGATGTTTGTCCTTAATAATTAGGAAGAGTTAAGGCAATAATGTTAAATTCTGAGCAGAATTTCAACTGTAATCAAGAGAATGAAAAGTAAAACCACAACAAAATAATCTTTTACATCCACCAGACTAGCAATCCATAAAGTGTTAGAAAGGACCTAAAGGCAAATCAGCTCTGAGATATATGCTGGTGGACGTATGTACTGTACAACCACATAGGAAAACAATTTGGCTTTATCTCTCAAATATGTTACAATCTATGATCAAGGCATTCTGCTCATAAGAATATATCCTAAAGAAATTCTCACATTTGCACATCATAAGGTAGAACACATATAGAAATATTTATAATAGCATTATACATAATATTTAATAACATTTAAAGTAAACCTAATAGCCATTAGCAGCCTGAACAGACTGTATCGCCTGATGGAATATTTAAATATGGTGGAATTGAGAAATTACCACAGTGAAATATTAAAT